GCCTTTCAGCTTATGGTTGTGATGGCTTCTTTTTCTAGTCTCCCTGCTTCTAGTCCATCCCTGAAAGTCTGGTTCTAATCATGTGCTCAGAATCCAAAAGCAGAATATACAGAGCATGACAATCATGGATCAAAATCTATGGGAAATGATCAAAACAGTGTTTGGAGAAAAGTGTATAGCTTTACTTGTCTTTATTCTTTTAAAAGAATGAAAGAACTTAACTAAATTCTCACCTTATTTTATAAGATAAGGAAATGAGTGGAAAAAAAACAAAAAACCCACAGGAGACTAAGAAAGTAAATGTGACAAAATAAACAACTAATTAGTTGTATAATAAAGAAATTAGAAAGTTATTAATATAACCAAAAATATTTGTTTTAAAAGACTAACAAATGTCCAACAGATAGCAAATTAATTAAAAAGCTAATAAAATTATAAATGAGGCAGGAAATAGAGTATCCAAGATAATGAAGTTGGGGAAAAAATGTATCAGGAAACACTTTGCACAGTTAAATGCTAATTATTTTTAAATTCCATTTGAAATTAAGTATTTTTTAAAAAACATATATTTTTTATTGATTTCAGAGAGGAAGGGAGAAAGAGAAAGAGAGAGAAAATCATGGATCGACTGCCTCATGCATGCCCCACACTGGGGATAGAGCCTGCAACCTAGGCATGTGCCCTGACCGGGAATCGAACCGTGACCTCCTGGTTCATAGATCAATGCTCAACCACTGAGCCATACTGGTTGGGTGAAATAAAGTATTTTTTCAAAAGTGAGGGGATTGTCTAGGTACTGACTATGCACCCTGTCACAGTACTGGGTGTTTTGTGTACGTGTGATAACCCTGTGATATAAATATCTGTCCTCCCTTTACAAACAAAGACTGAAATTTAGAGAAATGAAACTATATGCCCAAGGTCACCCAGCTACTAAGGGATGCAGCTGAAATTCAAATCCAGATCTACACTATTTATACTTTTCCATGTTTTCATCCTAAAAATGTAATCAAAATAGTCACAATAGGAAAGAAGAAATTTAAATATCCAGTAATGAAATATGTTGAAAAACTGTTCACACACCGCACAAACACAACTGGATAAATTTGTTTAGATCAAAACTCTCCAAATTTTCAAATAGAAGCCTAACTACCTGTCATTCCTCAAAAAAAGGAAACAAAAGCAAACTAACTAAACTACTATAAAAAGAAATAACAGTCTTAATTTTAATTGTGATTAGGCTATCCACTCATACACACACCCCTATATTCAGTTTTCCCCTTATGGACATGAATTTTTCTATAAAAAATCAAATAAAATGAGGTGATAAATTATTACATGCTAGAAGATGATATCATTTATATGAAATTTCCAGAATAGTACATCTATAGAGACAGAAAGTATGTTGTGGTTGCCCAGGGCTGGGATAGGTGAGGAAGGCAGGAGGTAGTATAGCTTAAAGATATGGAATTTATTTCTGAGATGATAAAATTATTCTAAAATGAACTGTGGTGATGGTTGCACATATTTGTGAACATACAAAAAACCACCTATTAGTTTGCTAGGGCTGCCATACCAAGATACCACAGACTGGATACTTGGAAATTTCTTATCTTATGGTCTGGAGGCTAGAAGTCTATAATCTGACATCAGGGCAGGGTTTCTCCAAAGCCTCTGTCCTTGGCTTTCGATGGCTGCCCTCCTGCTGCTTTGTCCTCACATGGCCGTCCTTCTGTGCACACGCACCTCTGGGGTCTCTTCCTCTTTTTATAAGGACACCAGTCGCATGGGATTAAGGTCCCACCTAAAGGGTTTATTTCTACTCATCACCTCCAAGTATAGTTACATTCTGAGGTATTGGGAGCTGGCACTTTGACAAATGAAGTTGGGGGTGGAGGAACACAACCCAGCTTGTAACAGAATCAAATTGTACACCTTCAAAGGATGAATTGTGTGATCTGTGAATTTCATCCTAATAAAGCTGTGTTCAAAACAGTATAAGAATGCTCTCTTAAAATGATAAAAGAAATATTTAATTAAAGCCAAAATTTAACTTCAGTCATTCTCCTTAAAAACAAAATTCTGGTATTACAGAGCATTTGGGATGAAGGACATATGGATGACAGATGAGATTAGAGAAGGGAAGGGCAGCTATAAACTCTTGGAGAAAAAGAAAACTAGGCAAGAAAGGAGATGACCTCAGCATGCTACTACATTTGGCCCCGCAGTGTGTCAGATTAAGTCATCATATTGATGCACTCAGCTTTCCAATTTATTGAGCAGCTACTATGTGCTAAGCACTCTCCTAGGTGTGACATACAATAGTACACAAAATGAAGGCCCCTGGGGTCATGGAGCTCCTGGTCTAGCTAGAGCAGGGATACAAACAATAAAATGCTATATAACCAGTAAGTGATTTCAATATGACTGAAAAAAATTAAAAGGTTGAACAGAATGAGGGGACCTAAAAATGCTGAGGGGAGGCAAGAGGGGCGGGTTGAGAGGAGGGTAAGAATGTTCACCATACAAATATTAGGGGCCCCAATAGAGACCCTAAGGTAAGAGTATGTCTGACAAATAGCAAGAAAACCATCATTGCTGGAAAGATGTGGGCAAAGGAAAGGGTAAGAAAAGCCTAGATCAGAAGGTGATGAGAGCCAGCTGATGCAGGCCTTAGGGTATTTTATGGATTTGGGCTTTTACCCTGAGTAACAGCAAGGTTGGAAGCAGGGAAGTGACAAGACTGTCCTTGCATTTTAGAAGGAGCCCACTTGTGGCTGTGCCGAGACTAGAATGTAGGGCAGAAAGGTTAGAAACAGGGAGCTATTACATGCACAAGTAATGAAGAGTGGATATAGATTTTTTTTAAAATATGGCATATACTGTACACGTGGCGAGGATGAGGGCATAAAGCAGAGCAGGTATGAGAGTTAAATCATCATCTTCCATAACAAGGAGTCAAGTAGGCAATATCTAAAATTACTACAGAAGAAGTAAAAGCATAGCATTGGAAATTACATGAATTAGCCCCGCTAGTGTGTTTCAATGGTTCAGCATCAACCCATGAACCGGGAGGTCACAGTTCAATTCCCGGTCAGGGTTGCAGGCTGGATCCCCAGTGTGGGGGCATGCAGGAGGCAGCCGATCAATGATTCTCTCTCATCATTGATGTTTCTCTCTCTCTCCCCCTCTCCCTTCCTCTGTGAAATCAATAAAAGTATATTTATGAAAAGATAAAATTACATTAATTAAAATAAGAGATAGCTAAAAATAGTTGGAAAAGATTGCCACCAGAGAGAGAAACTGGGGGAGAGGGACAAGGAACAGCTGTTTCTTAGGGGCCTTCCACCTCATGTTTTTAACCACATGAACTTATCGCTTACATTTTTAGAGAGGACCAGATCAAGTTTGCCATTGAACTTCATAATTGATGTTGGGTCGGGGATTTGGGCAATTGCAATAAATTACAAAGGAAGAAGTCTAACTGTTGGGAAAGTATATGTAAAATATCATTATTTGCAGATGGCAGAATGCCTAGTTAAAACAAAAGTCAACTAAAATATTTCAGTAAAGGGATCAGATAAAGAGGCATTTTTTAACTTGCTGGCTCATATACTGTCATGTTTAATAAATGTTTCTCTTAAGTAGACAAGAATTTTTTCACTACTAGAAGTTCAGTGCTAAATTCAGCATTCAACTATAGTTAATGATTAATATCTGAGAAACTTGCTCTTTTTAATTCTTAAAAGCTAAATAACCACCCAGTTTTATTTGTGGCTTAATACTACTTACTGCTTTAAGTTCATTTTGGAAGAAAAAAGAAAACATTGTATCCTTTCCTCCTGGATATTTTTTTTGTTTAGAAGCAATTGCTGAGCAGATGAATAAGCAGTTCAAGTCCATGCCATGCTCTGGTCCAAAGTCAAGGGCAGGTCACGACAGATGGCTTTTCACATTCACTTCCCATACTCTGGGAAGGGGAGTAGAAAGTGGTTTCCACCTGAGTTCAAGTCAACAAGTCATATACTCACATATTCACTCATCCACCATTTATTCATCCATCATTCAAATCCTTCCTGAGCAAAGTAAGCCCAGCATCAAGAATCAGGGAGAAAGCCCAGCCATCCGTGGGCTCGTGTGAACCAGGCATTTAAAGGACAGTGACAGCACAGTGCAGGCAGGACGCAGAGAGAACTGTGCCCAGAATCAGAGTCAGCAGAGGTGGAAAGTGTTGGGAAGAGGGAGTGACAGCGAGGCCGGAAAGGAAGTGGGTTGCATTGGTTGATTAAAAGTGATCGAACACTTGAGCACCTGAAAAGGAGGGACACGGTAAAGTGACAGAGAAAGAGTGTTGTTCAATGGTCCTAACCTCAAAGGTCCGTGGGAGCCAGGCAGGTGATATGAGTGTGCAGCATGGGCTTGGTGCGGGGAAGACAAGAGAGAGTAGTGCAGACTGTGGCAAACCGTGGAGACCATGCTCCGCTCAAGGGAACAACCCCTCCACAGCTCCAGTGATTGACACTAAGCAGGACCTAGGCTCCCGTATCTTTTAAAATTCCAACAAAAATCCAGATTTGTGTTGGGGTGTGTGTATATGAAATTGTTAGTGAATTAAAATGCCTTAACATTATAATAATAAAATCTACTCCTCCCCCCCCCCAAAAAAAATGTGGCTGATTTCAAGCTAAGAGCTGTTTGTTTGCTACCCCTGGCATAGTGGTTGAATTTTTCTGGTCTATACTTCCTAAAATAAATCACTGAAGCTATCCCAAGCCTCAGTTTCTGCATCTACAATAACAGTATTTAATCTAATTTATTTAAATTATAGGATTTTGGCAAGAACTAAATGAGGGAATGATGGTACAGCTGTAACCCCTTTAAAATGCTGCTTTGTTATCAAGTTGTCTTTGATATCATTTTATTAAGCTATGCTGCATATACATAGAAATGATTGCAGCACATTACATAGAATGAATCATTACAATACACTCTGTACTCACATGCGTGTTCGCCACCAATGGAAGCTCCAGAACCAGCTGTGTGGAAGCGATGCATCAAGGTGTGTAGTTTGCCCTGCTGTTAATTTCCTTCCTGCCATTTGTTTTGCATTCTGGCAACCAGTGCTGACCCGTAATAGCTGATCAAGATCGGGCAGGTGACAGCGCTGGATCCCCCTAAGGGTGACAAAGGAAAGGTGTCTATCTCCAGGCTGAAGTGCAAGTGCTCCAGGAGGCTTTCAGGAAGTGACTGCAGCCCAGAGGATGTAGATGAACTGGAAGCGGGTTGCTGACCTGGGGAGGTACAAAGGACATCCCCGCAGCCCAGGAGCATCAACCAGAAATTGAATTAAGGGAAATTGTAATTAAGGACATAGGATGGTCTCAAGGAATTTGAAAAGAATGGAACAGCAATAGCCAATGAGCGATGTATGCAAGCATATCGAAGGAGTATGCCCCACAGACCTTAATTTACCCAGCAATCCCATTTCCAGAAATTCCCACTTTGAGCTAAATAGAGTTAATGCTAAGTGTTTCTGTATAGATGCTGGCCCCAAAATATCAGCTTTTATTGTTATTTGCTTGATATCGTTAGATTATAAGATACATATTAGAAGGTGATAAAATGTGAGGCTGAAAAGGTGGATGACCAGAGATCAGATCACAAAAGGTTGTAGAGGTTATGCAAGGGAGTTGAGAATTTCTCCAGAGTAGGGAACACAGAAGGATATCAAGCAGCGTCTTTATCCCCTATGTTAAATGTGGCATACAACCTTTAGTTACTACTTTCACTCAACTATAGAATAATTGGCAAGAAGCTGAAATACATTTAGTGGATGTTTTTAGTTCTCTCCAGTGTGACAACGCATCTACCGAATGCAATCTTTAGAATCTGCCTTTAATGAACAGCATATGTCGCAGGGGAGACATGAAATTTAGGTTCTATATGCTCTCCTTAAGCAATGACACTGAACTTTGCCTACTGTGGCTGCTCTAAGACAGCATCAGCAGAAGACAAGGACAAAGAGATATCAGAAGGATGTCATCTCCACACACTTGAGCCACAAGCTAGTTAACAGACACCAGAAGTGACTCAAAGGGTGTATTAGTTCTGCTTCCTGCCCTCTGAGAACAACAGTTGATGGAGGCAAGACAGGGCAAGAAGTGGGTGGTGGCAGAGAAGGAAGCTGCATTTTGCTGATGGAAATAGCTTCCAATAAGGTCAAACCCACAAATACTAAATGGTTAGTCCCAAAAAGATGATTTCTAACCCTCGCTATGATAAAGGTCTCAGCATTCTTGCTTCAGTTTCTCTCCTTATTTCTGGATATAGTACAAAAATGAGTTGAGAACAAATGCCTTTGCGAGATGTTCTCCCTGGCAGTTTCTAAATGTCCTCACCCCAGAACCACAAAGGGCACAGGAGGAAATGAACATTGACTGAGCTCCTGCTAACCTGCTATTGGCTGGGTATTTGCCTTACATTGAACTTGGAAATTGTCCAGTCTCTTCCCTACACTTCCCCCTCTCCACAGCCATCTGTCATTATCTCTCTAAAGCAGAAAGATTTTGAAGATAGCCAATGGCCAGATCGTTGCACAATGAGTATCTTTTGTTGTTATTGTTGTTGCCCCACCTCTAGAATCCTGTAAGTGGCCTCCTGCATCCCCTGTTGGGATGCATTCCAATTGATATCTAACAAATTAAGCAACTCACTTTAAAAACGCACTGCTGAATCCACTGGAGGGGACATAGGTCCGATTGGAAGAGCAAGAGATTGGACAGGGCTCCTGCACAGAGAGCGCCAGAACAGCATGTTCTGTCCCTTTCACTCCAGAGAAGTTGCAGGTGAGCCTCCTGGAAGGCAGCTGGGAAGTGAGGACAATGTGCAACTTATTAAAATTGTTGAGAAGGCTTTTCCCTCTGCATCTATTGTCGATGGGTCATGGCTGGGTACCAGGTGGCAGATAAGGATTCTCTAATATTCTTTCATATAAAATAGTCTCCGTGCTCTTGTAAGTCACAGAGGTCCTCAGAGGCTATGACCACTGGAGGGGTTTGTTTTGACAACCTAACACACAATATAAATATGAGTGAGGTGATTATTTAAGACATATTGCTATAAATGCTGTAAGCCAGAAGCCAAGAATGGCCTACTTTTTTTAATCCATCATTCCTTCTTCCTTAATAAACCTGATCCTGTTAGAGGCATCAATGTACCCTGTTGCCAAACGATTTTTTCAAGCCTCACCTTGAGATAGGAGTAAGGTAACTAGGTTCTGGATAAGGCTATCAGGAGGGATATTAACTTAGTTAGGAACTTCCTTTGCTTTTTTTCCCTTCCTCTTTCTTCCTGCCTGGAATATAAACTTGATATATGGAGCCACAGTGGCCATGTTGCACCTTGAAGATAGAAGTCACATGTCAATGATGACAGAAATAAGGGATAGATTTTAAAAAGATTCCCAAGTGATTCTAATGTGCAGCCAAGGTTGAGAACCACTGTTCTAGGTGGTAAAATAAGAAAAGCAGGGCCAAAAAATTTCAATCAAGATGCGAAAAATATTAAAAAGAACATAACATTTAAATTCTATCGTTTTCAGGGCACATTGAATTATCTGTGGGGAGGAACTTACTAGGTAAGATGTGCCAAGTGGCTAGTGGAGAGGAATTTCTTGTAAGAGAAAGCCATAGGAGTCCAGTAGATTTAACCTGTGGCTTGCAAACACTTTGCCCTTTATGGAGATTACAAACCTGCATTATTTATCACCATTGAGTTTGCCTACCATATAGGAGAATCGACTGATCCTTGGAAAGTGTTTCTCTTGTGGGACCTGGGAGACCTCTGAATCCATTTCATGAAAAATGAAAGGAGACAGCATAACAAGTTCAAGTTCATTTATGTCAACATCAATGCCAGTTTCTCCAGAAGAGGCAGGAAAAAGACCAGCAGAGAGGAAGGTAATAAAAAGCTCTTGGCTCTGCTTTCCTAATTACCCCTAATCCAATAAAGAGCTGGGCCTCTTACAAATGCTAATTAAGTAAGCCCCCTACCAGTCAAGTGATAAATCCAGGAAGAGCCCTCCCTGGTAAAAGTATAGACAGTGACAGAGCAGGGCAGGCTGGAAATAGACATCTGAGTCCGCAGTCAGTGTTTGAAGTCCTGGAGGGTCCGCTGGGCAGGGAAAAGCACGACTAGGCCTGTGAAAACAAGGAGAATCCTGTATGGAGTTGGGAAACTAGAAATCGGTGGGTGTGAAACCAGTGCCGATCTCTTCACACTACCCGCCATCCAGTTTTCAGCTTCTACCTCGCAATGGAATAAGCAGATTGCACCCTGATGCCAGAATTCTTGACCTCCCGGAGCTCTTCCAAATTCCACCTGTGGCCTCTTTCAACCACCAGTAAGTAGCACACCCACTTGCCAGAAAGTCTCACCTCTTGGTGCTGTCCTGTTTTCATGCTTCCCAAATTGTGTTCTGCTGAATCGGCCCTGATGCTCTGGGTTGCGAATAAAAGAAAATTCAACTCAAAGTAGCTTAAAAGGCACAGGGAATGTCTCATTTCTGGTTCCCTCACTGCAAAGTTCAAAGGTCTGTCAACTTCTGGCATTGATTTAAGATTAGGGCTCTGGTTCCATTTCTCTGCAGTTTTCTTGGTGTTATTCTTATCTGTTTGTTTTGTGCTCTGACCGGTTTCTATCATACAGTAACAAAATGCTACATCAGTTCCTGGTGACACCACCATCTATCACAGCATCCAAAGAAAAAGAGTGCCTCTTCTGCCAGATGAATGAAAAATGCCTTGAGCTTCACCTGTAAGAGACAAAACGAGGTTAGGCACACACTCTTGCAAAACGTTCACTCAGACCCAAGAAACGGTGTATGAATCAGCCTACGCTAAGCTGTGCTGTGGTGACAAATGACCCTAAAAACCCCAGTGGTTTGCAAAGCAACAACGTTTTATTTTTCGTTCAACTTGCACATAGGCTGTTAGAAAACAAGTGAGACTTCATCCATGTCCTCTTCATTCTGGGAGTAAGACCAAAGGAGCACACGTTTCTAGGGCATGTTAATCTGTGGCGAGGGAAAAGGATGATGGCAGAACCACATGGTGGCTCTTAAAATTTCCACTTGGAAGTGGCACATGTAATTTCCACCCACATGTTGAAGGGCAAAGAAAGTCATTGCCTCAGCCTGTTGCCAGCAGGATGGGAAGTACAATCCTTCTGTAGGAGAGTCCAGATGGAATGAGCTTGATATAGTTTGAATATAATCTACTATTGCAAATGCTATATGATGATTGATTTAAACTGAGATGCTCATCTCTGACCCAGTTATTAGGCAAGGTAATGGATAGGATTGAACTTTTGGGTTTAATCAAATCTTACTCCTTGGGGTCGGCGTAGCCATGGTGGCTTGTGTCCTTTCCACCTGTGTCCACTGCCTACCAGCGGCCTTGGTGTTGCTGCCCCAGCTTCCCATGCTGGCCACAGCCCGGCCTCTCAGCACCATGCTGCGCCCCACGGGAACCCAGTGAGGCCCAGGGCTCCCAGCTCCACGCTGGAGCAGGTACCAGGCAGTTACACAGCTGGGCCACCACTATAGTGATGCGCCCTCTGATGTTAGAGGGGATCAAGGATGGTGTTCTTTATGTCTTGACACTATGACAGGATTGGCCCAGAGAAGCTCTCAGTAAGTTCCCATTTCATGAAAGACCTGGGCTTACACAGTTTGGACCAAGTGGAGATTATCATGGCTCTGGAGGACAAACTTAGGTTTGAAATTTCTGATATAGATGCAGAGAAATTGCCCACAAGAAATTGTAGATTACATTGCAGATAAGAAGGTTATGTATGAATAGAGTATGAGACCCTTTTCTTCACCAAGAGGAGACGCAAAGATACAGGCGAGTGTCTGGCCACCAGAACGTGTTTTGGCATCATTGCTGACATCGACAGAGCAATTCTGTTTACACTTGTATTTAAATTGTCTAAGTGTTTGTGCCCTTTGAAAATAAATCTATAAAACAACAACAGCAGCAACAACAACAACAAAACATAACAAAAGCCTACTCCTCTAAGTGGGAATGGAATCAACCACATTTAGACCACATGGTCTACGTCACCTACCAATAGACAGGCCAGTGTGGGTCCTCATTTTACAGATGAGAAGACGGAAGCTTACCTCTTTCAGATCACAGAGCCAGAATTCAAAGCCAAGTCATCTAAATTGATATTCCATGTTTTCCATTGTACTAATGACTTGAATTTGGTACTGCTCTATCCAACATTCACTTGACTAACAAACTTAGCTACTAACATGCGCAGAAGTCATATTGGAAATTCACTATTTTTATAAAATAATTCATAGGTGTAAAATCTGAAAAGTCTTATAATTTGGAGACAAAGTCATAAAAGGGCACATTTCATCTAGGAAACATGCAGCCTCAACAACGCATTCAGAAATACAGTGCACCACCTTCCAAGAGATCAGCTTGACAATATCTAGCAAAAGCCTTAAAATACGCACATTGATTGGCCCAGCGATTCCACATGTAGAAAACTTACCTTCTGAAAATAACCACGGGTGAGTGGAAACGTCAATAAAAATAAACAAGGACCTTCATTGCAGCAAAATTTCTAACCTAAAAATCCTAAATATTCAACACAATGGGATTCGTTAAGTGAACAGGGATGATGCACTGATCATACTACTATACAGCTATTTAAAAAGTCTCAGGCCTAAGTATTTAATTGCACAGATTTTTAAGTTGTTTATCAAAAGTAAATTATCAGATGCTATGCACAATATGTTTCTATATATATATGTGGAACTATAGAAGATTTGGGTATTTTCTTTATGTTTACATTCAAATTTTCTACATCAAAAGAGTATGGCTCGTACACTAAGAAGTAAACAATGCAATTTTCTTTTTTACTGAGTCACCCTCCAAAACTAAAGCAAAGGGAAGCCCCGTGAAGCAGATGAGATTACCATCTGCAGAAGTAATCATAAGCTCTAAGAATGTGTTGCTGATTAGTCGAGGGTGTCTCTTGTGTATGACAGAGGAGGTTAAAATATAAATCAAGCAAGATAACCCATGACATGTGGTTCTGTGACAGCCCAAGAAAATGAGAAATTTATGATTAAGAATGGTCAATGTGACTCTAGGACTGCCCACTGGGGAGGGTGGTCATTTCAATTACCCTCAGCAGAGAGTGAGGCAGAATTTTACCCAGAGAGAAGATGACAATTCATCCAAATGTTCCAGCTTAGCGCTTAAAAATGTCAGCTTCCTTTCATTTTAATCCTTTACTGACCCAGCTCTCATTTTCTCTTTCATCAGGAAGCAATGTCCCATGTCAATGACATGCGTTACTTTTCCTGATTGGATGAACTCCCATTGCAGGAGGCTTTTGGTATGAATTCTGGTCTATATTGCCAGCTGGGGGTGAAGGGGAACTTTACCAGTGCCATTGTGATTGCCAAGGTCATTTCAACCCAGGGTGAGTTAATCCCATTAAATGGCTTCTTTATTTTTAGTAACATTTCCATTTCTTTCTCTACCTGCAAAATTCCTCATGCAATCAGATGTTTCAGCCAATGTTTCAAAATTTTATCCTCGAGTTCCTTAAAACTTATGTGTAGGTGTCGCGTCTGCCCAGCAATTTATTTTAAGTGTTTTACTGAGCATTATTGAAAGAAAAATCAGAAGTGTGCTTCCTCCATAATCTGATCAGTCTCCTTTAGGATAACCACAGTTCCAGAGCACAGCATTTGTATGTACATCATTGTGCCTCTGCTCAGACCCTCCGTTAAGTCCGGAACCCTTCCACACCATACGTGACAGAGAGAAGCACTGAGATTGTGCTGGGTGCCAGCACATACTTGTCAAGAATGTTTTTAAAGGAAAAATGGAGTGAAGGAAGTCTGTGTCTCCAGATATCTATCTCTTCATTGTTGAGCTTCAGAGAAAATTCTGGCCCCAGACCATTCCTGGTGTATCTGTCACATATATTCCTTTTCTACAATACAGACTCGGTTTTGAAATGATAATACACTTCTGGAGTTCATCAAAGGGTAATAAAGTCTTTCAGTTGAAAATATCACAAATCATTTGAACTGGGATCAGGAAGACGGGAAATGTAGGGCTGGAAGGGTCAACAAAGAGGAATGTCCCAGGCTAGGTGAGGCGCTGGTCCCCCAGAGGTGGGCTTAGAGCTAGCTGAACCAGCCCCAGCAGGCTCAGGTCTCAAAGCTGCTGATGCAGAGAGTTGGGCCCTATAGCAAGAGTCTATGCACAGGGAATATTCTACATCATGTGAAAGGTGGCATCAAAGCCCCAAGCAGGTCTGTTAGGTGTGAAGCAGGATTCCAGTATGCTAAAAGGAGCCAAAGGAAGGAGAAATCAGGCAGGTGGAGAGATTGGAACTCATGCTGGGCTCTGGAGCTGGCAGGAACACAGTAATAAGCTCATAAAAACACGAGTTTTTCTCCAGATTGTGTGAGAGATGGCTGGGAAAGGATAAATATAACAAGGGAAAGGGCCTGGGGGACTTTTGGGCAGGAGGGGAGGAGACTGCTGGGCACAAGTAGCTCACCCTCAGCGTTCAAGATGGCGGCGAATGTTTCAACTGTTCCCTTTGAGGACCCCAGAAGGTCCTGCGTGTCCTTGGCAGATCACAGCCTCAATGACTCTGTAATCAACTCTAAGTTGCACAAAAGCAAGAGCTACTCCTGGGAGCTAAATGAGATTTCGAGGTAGTGTCTGGAACTCTACCCTCAGAAAGCCTGGGTTATAATCCGAGCTCTGCCCTTGCTGCCTCCAGGACCTGGGGACATGGTTTTCAAGGAGTTATTTATCCCATTTTCTTTAAGAGATAGAAATAAAAAGTATTTAGCACATACAGTTGTAAGGGCTAGGATAAGGTAATCCATGAAAAACACAGAGAACAGTACTTGGCACATAATAAATGCTCAGTAAATGTACTGTGGAGTAGTAGTGGCGATATTAGGAGTAAAAGGTAATGTATATAAAGATATGATGCAAAGTCTGGCACATAGTAGGCCCTCAGTTTGGGATAGCTATTATTACTCTGGCTTTCCCTGCCTTTTAGGACCAACTCAAAACTGTGTCCACCCCCGACCCCTGCCCCAGTTCTAACCCCTCACTGTAATAGGAACACCCTCCTCTTGGCTGCTGGAAAGCAAATCTCATCACAAATTTATCCTGACCCAGAGAGACACCCCCAGAAACTCAGTGAAGTCAGCCCAGGAGGTTTCTGGAAGCCAGTGATGGGAATCTCTTAATTAAGAGTATTAATCAAATGCCTCCTAAATTTCCTTACTTTGTTGCTTTCCCATGTGACCACATGCACTCAGAGCCAGTTCCTTTCCTTGGCACAGATCTTGACACCTGCTATTCTTAGAGTTGTTTGATCTGAGACATAATAGGTTACTGGCTTGTTGTACAAGAGAAGCAGCATTTAGCCAGTGGAAGGGAGAAGTGGTAGGCAGTAGTGAGCCAGAATGAAGTCATGAAGCCCCAAATTGGGACTTAGCGTGGCTGGAGGAAGGTAGGAAGGAAAGAATGCAGACAGCAGGGAAGCAAGAGTCCCCATAGGCTTCGGGGGGGATAAATATTAGACCAGAGACCTGAGAATACAACTGATGACCTTTGCCATCTCTTAGTGTATGGGCCATCGCATGCTAGACAAGGTGCCAGGCGTGACCTCATGTCATCCTCACAACAGAACTGCAAGGGCTGCTGTTTGGGTGCATAACTCTCTCACCTGGTTCCCAAACACAATGTT